ACACACACATATGAGCCAAGATCAGTGCTTCACAATCCACCTAGTGTTTAGTTGTGCAAACTTTACTTTCATCAAGTAAATGAATAATAATAATAAAATCCCAAGCATTTTTCTCACTGACCTTGTAAACATCAACCAAAATAATGCCCTCCCTGATTATTACCCCTGATGACTGACATCAACCGCCTTATCTTCATCGCTCAGGAATCCTCTCAAGAAAAGGTCTGTCAATTGTAAACACCTCTCCCTTTCAGGGCGCCAATGTTGGGATCCTAATTCCTCCCTTTGATTTTTATTAATAGAACACCGGAGAGAATCAGAGGAGGGCGATAAACAGAGATGAGATTCTATCAATTATACGATTGCTTTAATTAACTATCATTAAAGACAGATCAATAACTCCAGACTGGAATTAAAATAAGGCCCATACATTATACACTACTTTACAAGGAACAATCAAATTGCCTCATATACTGTGGACCCTTCAAGGTGTTGCCATGGCAACCAATGGGGGGGGGGGGGGTTAAAGGAGCCGGGTTACATTTCTAAATGCACAGAGTCCTAGTGACACCTGAAATGGGAGTGAAACACAAATGAATTAATCAAGATTAAAATGTCTCTTTAATCTTACGGCTGTCAGTTATTCACAAGAATAGCATAAGAAAAAAAATCAATATAAAGTAGGTCATGAATGCAGCACACATGCAGAAGCTCATTTGAATATTTAAAAGCAGGCAGATTCTCTGCTCTGAGCACGAGCGAGGCGCAGCGGTGCTTCAGTCAACCTACAGGAGAGATAAAYGGACCAGCAGAGGCTGCGGCTCCTCAGAGGGTGATCAACAAGATAAAGCTCAGAGAACCTGAGTGCTCCTAGCAGCAGTTAGGGAGGCAGGGGTCTGGGATTGGACTTGTATGTGACCTGGGTTCTGATGCGATTTAAAAAATAAAATAAAATAAAATCAACTGGAAGCTTGCCTGGTGGAGTTGGAGGCAGGGTCATGATGTGAAACGGCGCATCATTCACTCTGTGCCTCCCCTTCGTGGGTCAAAACAGACAAAAAGGACATCTTGTGCATTTGCAGTGAATCCGCGGTGAGTTAGAAATCAGTCAAGGGAAGAAAGAGGAGGTGAAGGGAAGGTGAGAAACGTTTTCGAGTGCAAAGGCCATAAATTTAACGCCTTCTCCGTGTGCGAGGAGAAAGTCCGACCATGCCAGAGAGAGAGAGGGTAATTGAGAAAAAGATGAGGAAAGGAGGAAATCCGGTGAGAGGGAAAGGTGTGCCAGGCGGGAGGCAGAGGGAATAAACAAAGGCAGGTGCAGGGGAGGCACACAGGGGTGGCGATTGGGGGAMCGAGACTGATGGACAGGACAGTCTTGGGGGTGGGGGGGGGTCATTAAAACTAGGAGATGTGCTCTGGCCTCTGGGTCTTCATATCTTTTACATTTCTAATTAAAAGAGATAAAGAGTGAGGGAGTCATCAATCCCACAGTGATTTCCCAGTTAAGGTTTTAGAGGGGGCTGTAAACTAGGCAGCCCGGCATCATTGATTTTATAATTAGCTATCGTCACCCCAGACTTAAGATGGGAGGGGTGTAGTGGGGGAGCTTAAAAGATAGAGCAGGACACTGCCAGGGGAGGGAGAAGGCGCGAGGATGAAGATGATGATGAGGCTGATGAGTCAAGCAAAAACACTGAGTTAGGAATGTATACAAAACAGGCAATGAGCCAATAGGTAAAAGCTTTATAAGTGTGGGCGAAGAAATCAGCGAAATGTCAAGAGTTGATCCAAATACTGCAATAATACTAGGCTAAAAACAATACACACGCACACACGCACACACGCACACACACACACACACACACACACAAACAAAACATCCCCAAGACATTAGACCGTATTGATGAATACTTTTATTAAACTGAGCCATACCCAAATCTCTGTTACATGACTAAAAGGAAAACATGTGGGATGACCTTCACACACACAAAACTACACAAATAAATCCTAACTGGAGCTCCGCTGCTGCGTGACAGGGAGCTTTCAGTGGACTGAAACAAACTAACAAATAAAGACTGACTTATTCGATGTTTTGAAGTGGGGTTCTGTGAAAAGGCTATGAACAAATAATGTTCAACCTGTTGTGGATAGCTGTTTGAATGACTGGTTCTACCGTATGTTGTCTTTCAAGTTGGAACATGGGTCTGGAAGTGAAGTCGCACGTGAGTTTTGTTGCTGTCAAACATTGAAGCGACATAATTAATAATGGTTGGACAGTACGGTGCGTGTGATCGAAAAAAAAATAATGCAGCTATGATTTTTATTTGAGTAATTTTGTGAGACGGAATTTTTGGATCARGGTTGGAATCAACTTCGTGGAATGTTCTTGTTTTTTTCTTTGTACAAAGAATTTAAAAACTTTTACTTCAGAGCAGGGACAACTGGTATAAGTGGGCTAGTAGGACTTAARTATGMTCCAGCYGAACTGCCTCAATCGGATCAGAGTGTCGCAGTTTCATGGCGAAAATTGCGTCATTTGGTTCGCACTGTCRACTTTTTATCCCCTTCTTGCCCTTCCTGGTGTTTGCAACCACAAACATGTATYACATTTTGTGAAATTTACAACAGTCTGGAGAAAATTCTAGAGTCTTTCTAAAGGGCTAAGTTTYCAGACAGAATGATTGACAGATGTCTAGTCATGCCCCCTCAGTTTTCTGCTGATTGGGGCTAATTTTGTTTAGCACAAGGGCACAGGTTTTAGCCATTGAGGGTGGACGTACAGTAACGTGCCTCGAGCACGAGTGTGTGTGTGTGGTTTGGAGTAGACTGAGTAGGTACATTGGCGAGCAATAGTAACATAAACAAGGCAGAATATTTAATTTCTCACCCATTTTCCTTCATTTCTTTGGAGGAAAAACTGGAAGTGAAGATGTCAGGGGTAGATAGACCAAAGTATATTCAAATCCAGGAAAAACAAATGCGGCAAAGCCAAAATATTTCTGTGACCTGGTTTCAGCGAAAGGACTGGTTAACGGCAAGTACAACTAACAAATCTCTTTTCTGTTTTCCAAATTTGCTGTTTGGAAACAATTTGATGTTTCCGTTGTTGGGAGCCAATCTGCAGCATTTTATTATATATCTACATAGATCTGTTAGCCCACCCTGCAAATATCATCACCAGCCACCCATTGATAGTTTATTTCTGACCAGCTTGATGAGCTAGTGATTAGTGTGAGTGATGGTAATATCTGTTTTTTCTCATTCAGACTAGCTATTAGCTCTTCAAACTTGTCAGAACTAAACTATTTCTCCAAACCGAGGTTGTTCAAAAAGTTACCTACAACGAGTAAGATATTATCGCTCTTTATCTTTCAATAGAACCTTACTTCAAAAGATCTTTACAACTTTTTGAAGGATAAAGTTTCAGCACAAATACAATTAAGGACTTTGCAAAATATATTTAGTGTCTGTTTGTTTGAAAAAGACATGCACCTTTACATCTTCAACTCTCCTATGTATCCATAAAATATGGAGGTTCAACAATAAAAAAAAAACAGAGTATGGAAATATTAACTCATATGATTTTAAAATCTTTTGTATATTTTTTAATCTGATTAAATCAGCTGGTATCAATTCCTTTGCCTTAGCACCAATAATTTGTGACAATTATTCCCAAATATTAAAAGTAAGAAATATTCATTGGAGAATTAAAAAGCAGAGAGCATACACATCCATAAAAACATACATGAAAAGTGACTCCATACAACACAATTTTATAGTTAGAAAAATTAGGAAATCACACAACCGAGTATCAGGGTTTTATCTAAAAAAAAAACCTCTTCTATAGTAAAAACAGGGTGCAAAAAAACAGCAAGGAAAAACTGAGCATCAAGGTGTTTATAGCTAATCATCTTCACCGCGGATGGAAAATTTAGTACGCTACATTGCACAAACTGAAACTAAACCTGAATATAGTTTATTCGCAGCATAACTCAAGTTAATTATAAATAGAAAACCATGAAAAATGCATACAGTATTGATTTAAAGGTAAGCAACAAGTTTTTATAGGGCAATATAGCTCCAGGAGGCAAAAACAAACACCTAAAAGCTGTGTCAGGATATTTAAATATAATTTTTTTTAACTCATAGTTTACAATTTTAGGCACAAATTTGAAACTGCATATGTGTGATTTAAATTTTTTGTATATAATTAACTAATAAAGTCTGAAGCTAAATATGCAAATGAACATTAAGGTAATTTGAGCAGTTATGAAAAGCAACATCTTGGTTCGTTAAACAACAACTGTAGCTGATCTAGAAAAGCTTAGAAGCATCAGCTGTATAATGATATGCAGCTACTGATGCATGTGACAACTGTCTTAATTGATATTAATTAGCTCAAAAAGCTTAATATTTCAAAGGAAAGTTCACTAAATCCCCTTTAACTGCATCTGCATGACAACAATCAAGTGTTGTTGTAAACAAGAAAGTGCTCATCAAATTTTAGTTTTGCGTAAGTAGAGAAGAAATAGGATGCCGTAGACCTGCTTTAATGGAATATTGTTTTTTTTGCATGACTAGATTTTGTGTTTCTTTATGCTGCCATGAAAAGTGAGGATTTAATGCTGGATTTGGAGTTTTGCTACAATTTTCCGTGGAGCCAGGCCTGAACAAAACATCATAATTACAACGCCTGTCGTGACTCCTAATCACAGCTGCCATAAAAATGACACTGCGTCCGTCGTAAAGCTCTCGACAAAGCAATGATTCAACAAAAAAGCATTCTGCTGCAGCGTGCGGATTAAAAAACACACCGGAGTCCATGCCTAAAAACGTGCCACTACAAACTGAGCAACAGTCTTATGGAAGTCATAAACATGACCTGCCAACGCTGTCAGAACAATCAAGGTGACACATTTTAAAAAAGAAAAAAAGGAGGCTGGCAGCAGATATAAAGTAATTGCATATTAACATCTTGTTTATGTGCTTATTAGTCCGACAGAACGGGAAACAAACTCCAGCAAAGTCCCTTCCTGTTGTTGAGGCCATGGCTGGACGTCCTTTCGTCACCGTAGCAAAGTGCCAGCCTGATCACTGGAGGAAGACACAAAGCAGAGAGTGTGTGTGTGTGTTAAAATCTGAGGATTCACACATTCTGGCTGAACAAGGAGGCTGAAGGAACGGGCGAGTGGGAGAACGAGAGCCTTAACGATGCTGAAAATTGGCCCGTGACTGCGGTACACCCCTCAGGTAAATCATTGCTACAGCTTGMTGTCAAATCGTCTGTCCCCTTGTCCTCCCATCTTACCCCCCCACCCCTCCACCCAACGCCTCAACTCTGTCTCCAACAGTCTCCCCCGCTTCACCCCGACTCAACTTCTTTTATGACCGCATATTCAAAACTTCCATCTTCCAGCCATAGATCCCCTGCCACCGTAAATAATGACTTGCATGCGCCCGTGTGCGTTTTGCACGCTCCGAGTCCAGCGTGAAATCATTTCTCGGTGAGGCCAAAGTAACAAGGCGCGTTTAGTCAGCTACTGCAGTTTAGCTCCTTTTTAAAACATTTTCATTAAAGCATTTCTTCAGTGCAATGACGTTTAATGCTCTTATCTGGTAAATCTCAGGGAAAACCATCGTAATTCTGACTCTGCTACATTTATTAAGTGAGTTGGTTCCCTAATTACTTTGCAGTCAGACTGCGAACACAAATCAAGTGATAAGCTCTTAAAAGCATGACAGGTTGCTGAAGTTTAAAACCAGACAGCATGACAGAAAAATATCTGCACGCTTATTTTTCAGCTCAGACCCAGTCGATAATTCAGATCTCTGTTTTTGAATCATCTTGTCGCTGCGTGTTGGGTAATATTTATTGAAGGGAATATTCTTCAATAGACTTTGAGTAAGGCTGCACAAATGAAAAAAAAAACATGCATTTGCAATAATACTGTGGAATATTGTGATTATATCAGTTGCAAAAAACTAGCATTACAATAGTTGCTACACATTCTGTGCTTTAGCATAGACTGCATGAAGGCATGGCCCATGATTTACTACAGTTAAAGTAACTTTTGCAATATTCAAAGTGTGCATATTGAAATCATGACGACAGTATATTTTTTATTATATTTTTATAATTATATATATATATATTTTATACTCACTATGTCAGAAAGTCACAATTTAGAGGCCTTAACAGCAATTTATAAAATGGTTAAATCTGCAATATAAAACATTTTCTTGTGTTGGATAGTGGTTAAAAAAACTTCACTTCAGTAAAAATACTAATACAGCTATGAAAATACACTGTTATAATACTTGCACTGAAAACCCCACTGAGGTTGGGAAACATATTTATCGCCAGTAAAAATATCGAGAAATTAACTATAATCGCCATTTAAGACTTGTGCACTGATGTGTACTTAAAATTTTACTGTTCTCATCTTGAAGCTAGTTTTAACCCCTGTAAGGTTTTACTTCTTACTGTAAATATTTCAGTTTAATTTACAACAGAAAGTAAAAACTTAAAACCAAACCTTACTTTCAAGTAAAACCTTGAAAGTTATTCCAATGTTGGACATCTAATTCTGCTTCTGCTCATGAAACACACATACACCTCCTGAGTGTGTGTAGCTGTTTACCTTCAGTGCATCTAAGATTCGGGGCATATCTTGTTGGAGTTTGTGCCTGAGACAAGCGTCCTTGTACTCTGGCAACAGAAGTGCCATTTCCTCTCCGGAGCTTTTCCCTTCGCACTGAACTGGATCAAATTCCTCCTCCTACATACCAGAATAAAACAAACACACACACACACACACACACACATTTAACTCATATCTCTCCAGCAGCTATTACAGTCTAATAAGTTGCCAACTAGCGACCTAATTGCTTTCACGAGATAATGTCCAAATCAAACGACCCACTGCCCATGTTTAACGGGTGTGCGCTGCTATCAGCGCGAAGCCGTAGCTCATTTTCAGTATCACACATAATTAAACTGTGGTGACGACAAACGGCTCTGATAGCGCCGTCTCACCGAATCGGAGCTGTGTACCAGAGGGTTGGCTGCGGCCTGGTGTGGCAGGGAGAGCGGGGCCGGCTGGTTGATGACCACCGCGCTCCGGTCCATGTCCCTCGGTGAGGGAGGGGGCGTCGACAGGAGCAAGGAGTCGGGCTGCTCGCACAGGCCGTAGTGTCCCAGAGTCCTCGGCGACTGGAGGGTCTGGGACGCCTCCGAGATCCCATCGTCAGAGTCAGATAAGGCAGCATCGGGACCTCCTGTCAGAAAAGATTGGTTGAGGACGGAGAAGTGGGGGAGGTAAGGGGTGGGGAGCAAGGGAGTCACGTTTCTCTTTTCACAGAGCACTGCTCTTGTCACACGCAACGCAGGCCACCGCTGAGCAGTATTTAGTGCTGCTCCTGAGTGATGGCAGATAACAGTTTTATTGTTCATATCTGCAGGGCGTCCAGCAGATTGATGTGCAGCTCAACTCACCTGTGGAGGCAATCGGAGCAGCGTCCCACCTGGCAGTGGTCACTGTTCCCATCTCCTGCTGCAGCTGACAGATGTACTCCATCAACTCCTGCGGGTGAAATTACAAGGATCACGTCCCAAACTAGGGGCGGGACTTTGCTCGTGACTTCAGCAACACATCACCGTTAGAGCCCTTATGATATCTGACACCTTCAAACCAAAGTCGCATAAAGATGTTAGACGGCAAATAGTGCTGTCAACGTACACTAAAATTTTTAATTTTTGTTTTACTGATTTTATGTGCAATCAATTGCCTGCCATTCTGTGGCTAACACTGAAGTGAAGCTGGACAATGATTGGAAAAATACTGATTTATTTATTTTTGTTTTAGGTCTGTCTGCATCTGGCAAATGTGAAACTGGTTAGCCAACAAAAACTCTCCAGGCACATTAACAGCCCCAGCGCTGACTGCCCCGAAATCCACCATTTTATATTGCACTATAAACAATTTATACTGCGCAATAACAAGAGGGTAACAACAGAGAGAAGATTCCCAACACCTGGGATATTCACAGTACCAGTAAACCTGTTGTTGTAACAGTAGGCTTTAGCCTTAGGAATTTCTTTAAAATCATAATGTTAAAACAAACAAAACTATTAAGATTGATTCCTTGACCCAGTAGCAAACCCTTACAACAAATGTGCCTACTGCTACAAAATATGACACATAAATTAAAGCTTTTCCTTTTATACCAATGGATCAGAACAAATTCAGCATGCAGCAGAACTGTTTCTGACCCGTTTCTCTGCTTGTAGCAGTTCCTTCTCCTTCTGGGTCACCCTCAGGCTGGATTTCAGCTCTTGAAGCTCCCTTCGGGTTTCACTCAGTTGAACCTAAAAAAACAGGTATAAAATTGAATATAAAACATAAAAGAACGGTGGGAAAAATAAATCAAAACTATTTTATAGAGAATGTGACCAATTGGGTATAATGATCACATAATCTGCACCAGTTTGTGACTGTTGTTTCTATCAAGTCTGGGTACGTGTTTTGGGCACAAAGTATCTGTCACATAAATAGCAGAAGAAAAAAAAAGTACACTTTCTTACCCGATTGCAGTCTTTTTCTCTTCCAAGCTCCACCTCCTGTTTCACTCTCTCCATCCTCTCCTCCTGCAGTTTCTCTTCCATCCTCTGCATCTCCGTGTTGAGTTTCTCCAAGCGCTTGTGGTCCATCTGTCAGAGCAGCAGAAACACCATAAAACACTCTCTCTGCCAAGAACGTATCCACCTAAGGCGGCAAGGTTGCGGTGAAGTAATATTCCCAACTCGAGTCAGGTTCCTACCTTTTTTTTTTAGATTTAACGTTCTGTGACAAGACATTACCTCAGCAGAGCGCTGCAGATTTTCCCTTTCCTCCTCCCAGCGGGTGCTGTCTTTCCTCTGGGTCATGATGACATCTGTGAGTTGAACGGTGAGCCGGGCAGCCTGGAGCTGAACCTGGTGCAGTTGGGCCTGCCCGTGATCCCTCTGAGCCACTGTGGCGCTGAGATCTCTCTTTAAGCCCTCTGCGGTGCGCTCGCTCATGTGGAGACGCTCCCGCAGACTCCGCATCTCTTTCAGTGACGCTTCGCTCTCCGCCTGTTGATGAAGTCGTATAAAAGCACGTTTCTGTAGGTCACCTTTTTCGCTTCCTAACAGAAAAGTTGCACCCTTAAATTCTCAGATTACTCATTTATTTATATATTGGTAATATATTCCTGTCAAACATTAGCAAATAGATAAAAAAAACAATAATTATGTTGTAATTGTGCCCCTGTTTAACGTTTACACAAGCCTCTGCCATAGTTATTTTGGGGGTTGGAAGATGAACAGTTTAGAACCAATTACAAAAATTACAGTAGTAAATTTTGTGAAATACATTAGTGGCGTCCTGATACCTATACTGGTATCTGTATCAATACCAGCATATTTTCAAGTACTCATAATCGTATAAAATGCCCAGATAACAATACCAGTATCAATATCAGAATACTGGTATAAATACTGGCATCAATACTCAATTGAATGTGTTACAGTTTACACTTCACATTTACAAATCAAAAGTTTGTCACTTACATGTTTAAGAAATTTATAACAGTTGAAAACCTTATGTGTTAATTCTATTTACTTTAAAACTTTGCAACATATACTGTATATATCACGCTGTTTTTTATTTGATACAGTCAGAGGGGCTGTTGGTCTAAAAAGAAGAGCCACCTTTTTCTTAAAAAGAAAGAAAAGTCACTGGGTAATGTTTAAGTTCTAACTTAGTAAGCATTAGTAAGCACTTACAATCAGTACTCAGCATTTGCRAGTACCCAAACTGAAGTATTTGTACTGGTTTGAGAAAAACTGGTTTCCAAACACCCCTAAAACAATGCTTGTTTTGAGAACAAATCAAAACCCAGAAACAAATACTACTTTCAGTAAATTTAAAGATAAACTAAGAAATAAATCTTACTTTGAACTACATAAAATGACATATTTCTGAATAAAAGTCTACCTTAGGTCAGCCTAAAACATAATACAGTGGTTTGCAAAAGTATTCATACCCCTTGAACTTTTCCATATTTTGTCACATTACAACCACAAACA